ATGATGATGATGATGATGATGATGATAATGATAATGATGCAAATGACGTAAACGACGAGGCTTTTCGGCTGCCATTCTTGACGAAACTGTCACCATGCGAGAGACTGGAAATTGGTTTTGAAGCATTTGGGAAAAACTGTTCAGTCTACCTTGACGGAGCCCTAAAATCGCTGTACAGTGTAGCTGACCTTTGACCGAATGGTAGGAAAGAAGATGAAATGTCACAAGCTAGGCGTCAGACAATGGCCAAAATGGGATTCGGTTCGGACACAACCAACTTGGAGGTACGCTGTTGCCGGGATGCCATTTTGGCGAAATGCCTCTGGCGCCAAGGAGCAAACAGAATGCTGCCATTGCAGACGTGGAGTCTACAAGAACGGTGATTCGAATGTTGTGATCTGCCGATCTCGTCATAGTTCTGTGATGATCAGACGATCCGACAGTGGCTCAAGTAGCGGAACTCGTGAGCTACTCGCCAGAAAAGCGGAAGTCCATTAATCACAAAGTCCATTTTGGCCGTTGGCAATGAGCAGAAACGATCTTCCGCGGCGCTTAAATGGGCCTCGATTGAAAGAATCCCATCATTTTCTGTCTATCAGCAGGTCATGTAGACGATGGCTCTAGCAAATATAACTTTGCATCATCGACAATCCCACGACAGAATGTGATATTGCAACCGGCCTGTCCATTCACACAAGGATGCATGTGGCAATCTGGCGTAGTGGTTAACGCATCGAGACTATACGCCGAACAAACCAATTCCTGAGTTCGAGTCCCGCCGGAGGTTCTGATGGGACTAGCTACAGTTCACTCCAGCTGGGATGAGAATGTTGTTTTAGTAATCAAGGCTACGTGAAATTTAATGGAAACATGGGATCAACCCAAATTAATATGTGAAATTCGATTACCAGTCCCTTTGTCACATGAAGTGAAATAGAATGAGGATACTTTATACCAGTTGGCATATTGGAAGATGAACTAACCGGTTCTCGGAGAATCTTTCACACTCGAGTCTTTAAGAGCAAAAGGCATTGGTACCAAAAAATGCTGCCATCAATTTATGTCCACCGCATGCGTTCGATTGGCGTCCGGAGAGGGTCACAGTTGGCGAGAATAAGATTGGTCAAGAGGAGAGTTGCTCATGAGTAGTCAGTGGTGACAGTTGAAATTTCCCTCAATTATAGCATTATGCCCCATTGTTTCATTTAATTTCACAATTGGTCATGACTGCAACTTCGAATTCGCCCGATCTGACCTCTTCCGCACCCCGAATGGGAATCGAACTTGAGTTGTGGTAATCACGTTAATAACTACATCACAGTGCCACGA